GGTTTTTTTTGTTTTCTGCCGTTTTTTAAAATTCTTTATTTTTTTTTTAAGTCGCCTGCCGCTGTAGAGTACGTTTGGGCGAGAGAACCCGCGCAGGAAACCGAGTGGGTCAAGGGACGAAAGTAAACGTGGTGGCGGAGCCGCCAGTCCCAACTTGGTACAACTGTGTGAGGGAAGGTGATAGAGACGTCGCTCCCGTGTCGGAGGAGCGCCCGTGACATTCCCAGAATTAACTCCGTCCTGAGCAGCTCCTCGCTTCATTGTACGGCATTAATATTAAAAGCAAAAAGGAATAAATCCCCTTCTGGCCGAAAGAGAGCAAAACTGCAGTTGCGAGTGCTTTCCTTCAGGAATCAGCTGGGTAGTTTTTATTTGCTTTGCTGACTGAAAGGAGGGAAGGGAGGAAACCCTTCTGTTGTCGCAGTTAACATTACATAAATCCCCAGGCGCGTACTGTGCGAAACCTATTAGCAGCATGTTTCACATGCTGCAGTTCCAGCTCCGCAGTCTGTTGGTATTTTAAAGTAAGGATGAACCGTCATCTCCCACAAATAATTTTTAATTCAGTGCCGCTTAGACGTCTGCCACGGCGAGGTATCGTCTCCTGCCTTTTTGGGTTGGGTCGTTTTTGGTTTTTTTTCTCCGTAAGTTTGCTGGAACGAGACCTCTGCCGAAGTTAAATCAGCACATGCGTCTTGCGCAGCACTTCGGCAAGTGGATTGCAACAGCAGCCCCCTCAACGCGTGTCTCACATGAGGAATCTTTTATGCTGCGCTGTATTAAGACTTCTCTTTTTGTCATGTTGTTTAGCTGTGGGAAAGGGGGGGGGGAACGAAAACAAAGCAATTAAAAAGATTGACAGGTATGGGTTTGTGTGAGACCTATTTGTAATTGTCAGGGTGACGTGGGCAAGAGGAGGAGGAGTAACAAACTGAAGCAGGAAAAGCAGCTCGATGTGTCTGTCTATCAGTTGAGGCTGTCTGAGAGCCCTGGGATCCGAATGTGTGTTATATTTCAGTGAAAAGAGAAGAGAGGGAGAGTGGATCTCTTTCTCTCCCAGGAGTTTAGGGCGGGGGGACAGTTCATGTTAATCTCTCCCACTCAGTGAAGGTCTTTTCTTCCTCCCCCCCCCTCCCTCTTTGCACACACTCTCCAGGGTTTTTCCTGGTTTTG